CAAAGAACTCTGCGTGCGTAGACTGATTTACCGACCCTAAAGATTCTCTGCTGGTTGATAGAGCCTTCTGCGGACCCTGGGAGGGGACTATCGAGGGGCTGGGCCCCCATAGTCCTCGTTAGAGAGGCATCAGGCTGTCTGTCCACAGACTTGGAGTGGAGTGTTGCGTTAAAGCAAGTTTGACCGTTGTCACAGCTGAGCCATTTAGAGGTGGATAAATGGCAGGGGGAGCTGACGTGATGGTATTGGATGAGGCTGTCAGGGAAGGCTGCAGCATAGAAAAGGAGAAAAGGGAAAAGGCTGTGGAGAAACCCAAGCTGTGGAGTGCGAAGGGGACCAAGCAGTCAGCAAAAGGCCACTGTGTTGTGGCAGACAAAAGAAATATGGGCATTAAAAGGGAACAACTTAGTGCAGGTTAAGGACAATTTTAATGCTAGGTGATGCCAGATTTCAGTTAAAATTTAATTGCAAAGGTGGTTATTGTTGAAGCTTTGGAAAATTACATGTACAAAAATGTTCTAAGAATAGAAAACAAAATAAAATGCATTGCAGAATTGGCAAAAAATAAAAATTCAGTCAGAAAAAAAAAGAAATCAGCAAGCTAGGAAAAGGGACAATCTCACGAGGAGCCTCTTCCTCAGAGAAGCCTTCCCAGCTATGGTGACCATGACAACCAGTGAGGACTGATTTCTGAGATCTTCCTTTGGGTTTTGGTTTAAAAGACTAAGATCAACAAGGAAATTTGGTTGGTAGTGCCCAGGACCTGGTTTGAACACACACACACACACACACACACACACACACACACACACACACACACACTATGAGGATTTCTATGTCATTCCAGGCCTGAAAAATTCCAAAGAGAGAATAAAATGAAGGGTAAAGAGTGAATGGGAAAGACATTGGCTAGTACATAGTCATGAATAAATATTGGTTCTACTAGACAAATCAATAGTCATTGGGATTAAAAGTTTGATTTAAAACCACTCTAATCAAAATCTCAGCACTGCGTATTGTCACTTGTGGTTCTTAGCTCCAAATCTTCAGGTGTGAATATATAAACTGGAGGAATAACAGAAACAAGGAAAATAAAAAGGGACCCTTTGAGTTTGGGAGAAAGGGCTCTGTGAGAGAATAGAAATTAGCAAAGAATGCCTACAGCAGTTACTTCTATTCAGCTTTGCCAGGAAGTCATACACGGCATCCAAGTCAGAAAAGAAGAAAAAGACAACAAACAAACTCAAAACCCCACAGCAATAACAAAAACAAGACTGGAGAGAAACAAATGTATCCTTTATTGGTAACCTGATTGGGGAATCAAGTATTCCGTTATGTCTTCAGGTATCAGAATGGATAAAATCTGTAGGTGAAAATCTATCCTGTTATCATTCAGTGGCAATAATCAGAGAGTAAAATTATCAAAAGTGATTCTTGAAACATCATAACTGCTCAGTTACTGTGTCATGTGGCCATTATATAGAAAGCTATAAAAAGCTTTGAGGGGAATATTAAGAAAATCCAAATAAGTGGAAGGATATGAGATGTTCATGGAGTTAAAATTCAGTGTTCTGAACCTGTCTTTTTTTCCCCCTCTACTTGCTCTGCAAATCGAGATAAAACGGTGCTGGGCTATTTTTGGTGGCATTTATGAACTTATTCTATAACCCACGGAGGAATACGAAGCCCAAGAACAATCAAGTCACATTCAATCAAGAACAAGATGGGAATGTTTGAAGAACGGCTGCAACACACTGTGGGGTTCAAACACAGCTTTAGCCACACAGATCCCTGGGACGGAGGGGGCTCACAACGAACTCACACATGCGGAAGTGTGACCAAAGAGACAGTGCGACAAGTTGGAAAGGTTTATAGACCAAGATGAGTGGTGAGGGACAGAATGGTCTTTTCAGCAAATGGCCCTGGGGCAATTAAATTTCCAAGTGAAAAGCATGAAATTAGATGCATATTATCTTCCTTCATGGGACAATATCATTTCTGCCAGATTATAAGATAGGAAAAAGAAAAATTTGACAATACAGTCTCTATGAACATGTCAATATGAAAAAGCTCTTAAGACAGAAAAAGTACTAGCAGCATGGGATCCATGTTCAGTTACACGTAAGAGCTTCTATTTGTCAAAAAAACAAATTAGTGAAAATAAGCCACAGAGTCAAAGAAGGTCTTGCAAGTTGTTTATCCACTGAGAGCTCACATCCAGAGCATACAAAGGAGCCCAACAAAT